CGCTCCATGTGGCAGCCTCCTGCCTGCTAAGCAGCCGACCGACCACTTCCTCCCTTGTCAGAGAGGCATCGAGCGACAGCATGCAGGCGATGGCCAGGCGGTCATCCTCTTCGATTCCGGTCTCCTCCGCCTCGAACGTCCAGCCTTTGTAGGTCGCCAGTCTTCTCAAGGCCCATTCAGGAACGCCTGCAAAGCCGTGTTGCTCGTGATGCTCGAGCAACGTTCGCTTGGCCTCAACCTTGAAGGAGACTCCGACCGGCCGACGCTCGCCCAAGGATCTGGCACCTCGGCCCAAAGCACAAAACAGGATCCCTCTTATTCTCAAGGACTACAAAAAAAATCAAGCCTTCACCCCAATCCTAAATCATCCTGTAGAGTCCTAAAAAATTCCGTGCAACCTCTTACTAGACCCTGGCCCAATCCGACACGGTCCTCTCTCGTCCAAGCTCAAATAAATCCACCCCCACTAGCTTCCCCAAGCCCAAAAAAACAAAAGTGATGTAGGCAAGTGGGTAATCCTAGAAAGTTTTAAGGCTTTAGTCTCGCTGGTTTTTCTGCATTTCTGGTGCTTCGTCTGTTCGGGCGGGGGCTTTTGGGGAATAGAGGTCTGGAGCCTAGGGCCTGGGGCTTCTAGGAGGACTGGCCGGTTACTATTATTACGTGGTGGTTTTCGTCGTTTGAGCCAGTTGTTCAGGCTATGGGTTTGGGAGGCTTTCTGTAGAACCCTTAGAGGTGCCAGGAGACGCTGAGGCGAAGTGGCTACCAGTTCCAGAACCGTCACGTTCTCGTCCTGCAGGTGCAGCCAGCAGAGCGAACTGGCATCGGCCTTCAGAACGAGCCTCTCGTGGCCGTCTCCGAGCGGCTCCAGAACTGCTGGCCAAACCAAAGCAGCTCGACCGTAGGTTCGGACTACGTAGCAGGGGTCGAGACCAGCAAAGAGCACCCCGTGGCCCTCGGGGGCGAGCGACGCCCACCAGGCCGTCTCTACGAACGACCAGTCGAGCTTGTCGCGAACCACTTTCGCCAAAACAGAAAAGGCCGCCAGCTTGTCTTGCTCGCTGTCGGGTGTCGGGGACGACCACGTTCGGGACTTGCTGACTCCAGCAAGCAAGTCTTCCTCTGCAGCCTCCTGCTCCACGACCTCGACCTCGACAACAGTCGCCGTTGAGGAACGGCTAGAGTCCCGTCGAG